TAATGCATTTAGTCTTGGTTGCGGTTCTATTTTATGAGCACTGTCATTCACCCTAGTGACAGATGAGGAATCTGAGCCTTACAGGGTTGGTAATTTGTTCAATGTCACACCATAAGAAAATGGAGGCATTGACTCTGACTTTAAAGCTCATGCTCATAAGTCTGAAGCCATATGTCCCAAATTATTAATATATGAAATAATACCACATATTCATATGGCTTTTATGTTAATTATATTTCAGTATTCATGTTAACCTGTTAAAGCTTTGAGGAGTAATGCAGTAATGGTATCTATTTAACTTTGTTTAACCTAGCATTTCTAAATCTACTTGGCTACAGAATGCTTACAGATTTTAGTGGAAGTAGTGTCCCACAGAATACAGTTCTAGAAATGCTGATATAAGCTATACTACTGCTATAGATGAGGAGCTAGGAAGGGAGTAGCTCTTTAACATTTGTCTGGCCACTTGCTTCAGAATAAAACTGCTGGTATCCTCCCCAGGCAAGCCACTCACAGGTGTCCACCTGGGGAATTGCAATGGGCAGGAGTAGAAGGAAAACACCTGATACCTTTGCTGCTGCAGGTGCACAGAGCGCTGGAACCCTCTGCATAAGTGTGTAACATTTAGTGCATCCTGCAAAGGGAACAAGTTTAATTTAGTTAAGCCACAAGGTTGAGTGAAAAACAGCATGTTGCTGTTATTGTTTAGTCAATTAAATTGTCCTCTGTGCTTGTAGGAACTGTTCCACATTTATTACCAGTGAGATACATGCTCTGGCAGTTTCTTTGCTTTGGATTGTCTTATATTTAGCACATCTAAAGATTTGAGAACGAATGATGGAAGACATAGTGATGAATTGTCAGGCTTTTCTAAAGATTCAGAAGTTCTAAAGTTCCTGCCAGTGACAGATGGTCTGTCCTTACTCATTGCTTGTCTTCCTGACAGGACTTGATTTTTTTTTCCCCCCTTTTTTTGCTCAATTCCCTTAAAGTAAGCCCAAGCTTCTTGGGTGGTGGGGTAGTCTCATTGGTTATAACTATGTTACCATATATATATATATATATATCCCTCTGGTAGCGACTCTGCATGAAGATGCACCACGCTTTGTTGACATTATTAATGGACACACGTGATGATCAGAGAGAAGCATGGAGTAAGAGGGAGAGAGAAACAGATTACCAAGGAAAATCCATACTTGCTTTCTTCCTGTTATTTTGATAACCAAACATACCAGAGTCTCCACTGGATAGTTTTTTTCTTACTGACTTGCTGCTTTCTTTTGATAGCCCAAGCATAAGGTGATCTTTTGGCAGTGTTTCATATCATTATGGTAACAAAATATACATTGTTTTTTTAGGACCTTCGATATTTCATAGCAATCTAAAAATTTTTGAAATTTTGTGTTAAAAAGTACAATTAGTGTTTACCAACTTGCTAGAAATTTATAAAAATCCACATAATGAGACCAAACAACTATACCAATGATGTACTTAGATATAAAATAGGTTCCTATTGAAAAAGAAGAAAACTTCAAATTGCTTAATCCCTTTCATTGGCTTGAAATATGTTTACTGCTGGAATGGGAGATGTGCTGCTTAGGTAAGGAAGATGGGGAGTTCTAACATAACTGTGGAAATAAATATAAGGTTTAAAAAATTCTAGCATGTCTTACAGTTGCTTCTTAACCCTTTATCCAGAAGTAATTCAGTCTTTCAAGTGAGTAATGCCACTAGTACAATACAGCATTACTTAGGCTGAAGTGTAGTGAGTGGAAAGGGATTAATATTACTAAAAACGTATGTAAATTACCAGGTGAATTGATTTGAGATTTACCATAGTTAGTTGGCTTTTTTGTCTACACAAATAGCTGAGAATTTCTTTTTTGTGTAAATATGAATGTCCTAAGAATGTTCATTATATGTTAGCTCAATTTGACAATATGTGAAAAGCTCAAACAACATTCTCTCTCCCTTTTATCTTTTAGTATTTAATTCTACTGCAATTTTGTTTCCGGTTTTATATATATACAATATAAAATGTACTACTATTGTATATATGTACGATGTGCTACTCTATCTATACTTGTCATTTCAGTGAAGGAACTCAAAGCCTCCTGGATTTCCAAGGTCTAGGCTACTGGACTCTCTGTCATCTTTTTATGCCCCTCACTAAATGCTCCTTCCATTACCAGATATCAGTCATCTTTTTAATTAGTGGCTTTTTCACATTGCTCACTTTTAGCAACATTCAATTATAAAAAAAAGAGAACTCATGCCAGCTCATTGGTTATGCATGAAGATGTTAACCTAGACCTAAGGAAATTACATTCCTCTTGCAGGGGACAGTTCCTCAGATAATGAATGGAAGCATTAACTTTCTGTGTACAACATAGCAATAAAAAAGTTTCAAAGCTTCTCCATAACACAGTGGCACAGTAATACATGGATCTTAGTTGTGTATACATATATATTTTGGTATATAATTAAAGGAAAGAGACATATCTAACTTTTCATTCTTAAGTACCTTTCTAGTATAATTTGTTTCTCTTCCCCTCATTAAAAAAAAGTCCTGAATATTCAATATTCATGAAGAGGCCAACAAATATTGCATGGTTTTGAAATCATGTCTTATATAAAATCACAGAATTTAAAATTACTCTAATAAGTATGTTTATTAAAATTTATTAAGGTTAAAAAAAAGTACATAGCTGAGATTAATAAAAATGCATTGCATTAGATGAGATAGGCTAAATTACTCTGACAGGGAGACCCAAAATGTAATAACGTCTCAACATAACACAGGTTTCTTTCAGGGTTAGCACAATACTAAAGCAGGGAATAGGGGAATGAGGTCGGCACCATGAACGTGAGCTTTTGTGGTAAATGATTTATTTCTTTACTGCAGTAATGTGCTAATAATTTTTTCCTTGTTTCAAATTTATACTGCTAAGTGTCTCATGTTTGAGTACTCATGAGTAAAACCCAAGACAACAGTCAGAGAAGATTATTCCCTGCTGACCCTAGCAAGGGAGGGTGGTCGAGTGAGTAGAATCACGTCTTGGATGAGAGGTTCGCCTTTCTCTTGTACTGAAACACAAGATTCAGCTTGTGACTCTATACTGTTTTATAGAGTTTTGCTTGAAAGTTTATTTCAAGACAGAGAGTGTGAAAGATGCATAAGTTTTATGATCTAGATAAATTATCTGTAAGTTGCCCTTTCCTTCCACTTATTTCATAAATGCTATTGTACAAGACAATTTTTCACTTAACAAGTTCTACAGGTTAATGCAGAGTTCTCATAGCCTGAATTTTACCTCTTCTGGCCACATGGTACAGATTATGTAAACAAGGACAATTTAAACTAAATTGAGTCATCTCTTCATTCTACTACCAGTATTGCTGCAGAAGTACTTTCAATCTATATCTTGGCTTTCACTTCTCTTTTCTCTGAATTCTTCCTATTTCCCTATTTTAGTCATGTGGTTTTTTTCCCATATATAATCATTTCTCTCCATTTTATCCAGAGAACTACTTTCCTTATATCTGAGTCTCTGTTTTGTATTCCTTTAAATTCTTATGGAGTTCCCACTTACATTCTAACACTTTTTATTGCTAATAAATTACTGATGATTTGTCTCTAAGATGATTAAAGAAAAGCAATCATAAAATTAGAAATAAACTGACTTTTTTTTAGCTAAAACTGAAAACTGCCATGGGTCATATTTTCTACACTAAGTTTTACCTGTAAGTTGAGCATGAATGTATTTTAAAAAGTGATAATAATGATATAACTTAAAAATAGATAATATATCCTCACTTCTATGATAATATATTATCTATACACCTCAGTAAGGTCATAGGGACCAATACAATGTATATTGAAATTGTAGTAAAATTTTTACCAAAATTTAAAGAAAAAACAAAAATTCTGCAAATAATTATATACTTTGAGAAAGCATTGAATCACAAAAGAAATATATTTCCAGTTGTATTTCTTGTGATTCAATGCATGTTTCAGTAGGCATTTCTCAGTAGGGCAAAGAATAACTACCAAAATACAATTTACACTTTATAACAACTCCTTGCTAGTTAATAGAAAGATTTTCATTTAAAACTCAGTCTTTGGGTATTATTGCTGAAAATAACAGAATAAGCTCTTATAAAACAGTCTCACGTATTCCATGCCTATATGCCCCATGGCATGCATCATAAGAACATGTCTTAGAATGTGTATGATAAGATTGGATAGAATGGCAACTTTCATACAAAAGCTAACTTTGTGGGCCTAAGCAAAGGATCATTTAGAATCAATTTTTCCAAAGTTAGTCAGCCAAGATTGCTACCTATATCTTATTTGCTTTTCCTTTTGCATGTTTTATTTCTGTTCATGTTATTAGCGATCTAAAAGCTACTGAAATTACCTACCCATAGCTTAATGCTGATATAATGTTTATTGCTTTTAGTCTTTACATTCAGGTAATTTTACAATTGGATCTCTTTAGAATACACATGCACAAAGATTTTCAGAACATAGAGCAGTTTACTCTCTCAAGGCAACAGCAAGCATACACACAGGGAAGTATTAGAAGATGAGAAGGTTAAGTTAGAGCCAGATTGTGGAGGGATATGTACTTGGACATTTATTAGGTAGATAATAAAAAGCCATCAAAGTTTATTTGGAATAGAAAATGTGATTTGAACTCCACTCTCAGTTAAATCACCATACGGTATTATTTATAGTATCTTTTTTAGTTGAAACCTATGTTTTTCTAGGCTTTCGATGACTTATGTTTTCAAACTTAGCAAATCTACTATGTATCTACACATCGAACACAAATGCTTCTACAGTGTTTTGCTAACAGTTTTCCATCTTCAATTGAATAATGAAGGCCTTTCTGACATCTGGTTCATTTTTTGCCATTTGCAAAATATATGCGTTTAGTTTGGTCTGTTTTTTATGACTAAATGCTTACTGACGGCTGGTTTGTTTTCTATTCTAGGTTGTGGAGACTAATTTGGTTGCTTTTGACTGTCACTGGATCATTATAAACGAGGTAAAGCCAACTAAACCTTGTTGTCAGCTCTGGGTCCTGTTTTCGTTATGTGTAGTCACAGCATTCCTACAGCCTTGAATTTCTGAGAGGAAACAACACAAAGTAACCTTCCAGTTTACTGAGTGGATGCTGTTAAATAAAAAAAGAACAAGGGGTTTTTAAAAGTTATAAAGGGCTTTGTATGAATAAAATAAATGGAGTACGTCTTCCCCACTGAGTATCTTTGAGCCTTTTCCGTTGGCACACACTGCCAGCTTTGGGAGATCTCTTTATAAAAAGTACAGTTCTTCTTTGTGAGCAAAGTGAATTCCTCCCAGTGGAGTGCTTGTGTTCCATTTATATTTTAATGTTGTTTCTAGAACTTTTATATCCACTATCCCTTTACACAGGGATTAAATAGTTCAGCATATGAATATGAATAAATAAGAACAGATTTTTTCTTTTCATAAAGAAATACTTCTGTTTTAAAATCCATCAACTTGTCAAATTCCTGGTGAAAGTTTCTTGATTTTTGTAAAGACAATACATAAAAATAATTAAAAATTTAAAAACGTTAAAAATGTATTAAAATGTGAGAGCCCTGAGAAATCAGTTGTTCCATTAGCACTTGCCAGTCAGAGTCGAAAAGGACAATGAACACATCAGTCGTGGACAAATAACGAGATCACGTGGATTCGTCCTCAACAAGACCTAGTATTGAATCATATCTATTACTTATGAATAAAAATAATGTATTATTTATCAATAGATACTAAATATTGAACTATAGAATAATAAATTTTGTCTCAGGGACAAATAGCATTTTGAATAAAAATTCTGGTTTTGCAGTCAGCAAGATAGGTTCAATCCTGGCTATAAAACTGGTTAGTTGTGTTACTATGGATATATAATATAATCATCCTGTGCCTCGGTTTTTTTTTTTTTTTTTTGCTTGTACAGTAAGTATAATGATATTTACTCTACGAGTTCATTATAAAAATTAAGTGAGATATGTAATGCTCTTATTAACACAGTGCCTGACGAATGACAATAAATGGTACTGCAGTAATGATCATAGCATGTTCAAGTTCACAGACCACTTGCTCCGACATTATTTTTTTGAATACTAAACATTATTCTATGAAGGGTTGAGGGAATGAGGTTCATTGAGGGTAAATGATTTGCCTCTCTCTCCACAGAAAAATAAAAATGATTCCCAGTTTCAAGTTGTTTCTCCTATACCACACTTCATCGATGGAATTTTAGCTCCGTTAATGGTTCTTTTAGTTCAGTGTAAAGACACTGGAAACATCTTATAAGCCTGTTTTTGGTCTGCCAAGCTTTAGGTCCACATGATTTGTCACTGTAATTTCTCATGTCAAATTAAGATGTATTTTTCTGAGATCCCCACAGGTAATGTGTATGTGTGAGATCTACTTTTCAATAAAGTCTTTATACCTTCTAATTTTCTAATACCTCTCAATTTTACATCTAGAAAGACTGAACATCAGGATAGAGGGAAGGGAAAAGGGAAATTTTGCAAACCTTCATGATCACATTTCAAATTAGATATTTTCATTTCTATTTTTCTGCAAGGAATCTAGGATTCAAATAAATTAAACAGTTTGCCAAATATTAGACATCTATTAAGTAGTGATAATGGGATTTAAAACTTAGTCTTTTCCAGTCTAAAACTTTGATTGTTTTTGCTTTGTTATCCTTTATTTGTTAATTTTCTTTATAGATTATATTTTTGAACGTTCTGCTACGTCAATTTTAACTTTATGGGAGCCGTTTATCCTATTAGTTTTTGTCTTTAGTTTAATTATTTTCTAGATTACTATTTTTTGAAACAGAGAGTCCTTCTAATTTCTTATTTTTATCTCACACCCACTTTATAATGGGAGATAGACCACATAGACTCTTTGACATAAAACAAGCTGGAATCATTTTGCGTGTTCATATCAATAGAGCTGGTTAGGAAAAAAAAAGTGATTTCTTGCATCCTTAGAGACACGGATTAATCAAACCAATTAATACTTATTACTGTTAAATGGAAATGCCCACTCCCTTCTATTCTTTGGTAAGATTGCAGAAGGGACTCCTGAATTAATTTTTTTTCCATATCCAATTTAACTTCTAAAACTATACCTGAATCTTAAAAGGGTGAACCCATTTAGAGCTCCCCAGAACACCAGTGGTCACCTATCTACTGCTTATGTGTCGATTTGTACTGTGTAAGAAATCACTCCTTCATATTACATAGACGAAGCCTGACAGAGTAGACTAGCATGTATTTCATTGGTGATGAATGTCATAGAAAGAGTAATAACAGTTCATATTTTACTATATCTTTCATAAACATTATGACTTATTTTGATGTGCTTATTAAATTTCATTTCTTAAAATATCAGGAGGGCAAATACTGTCTTTAAATGGATGTTCCATAATTTCAGCGACTATTTTGCAACATAAAACATCCACACAATACCAATAAACGTTAGAAGTATAGAAGACAGTGTAGGAGACCTCAATTCTTTTCTCCTCCTTCACACTTGGATTTGCTACTGCAGTCTGTCATAACTATTTATAACTTCACCTTTACCATTACTGAAACCCTATCTCTTTTCTACCCACAGCCCTCCTTACTACTCCTTGAGCAGAGGTGTCATTTCTTTTGAACAGGTCAATACCACTTAGCCTTTGAAAATCCAGTGTTCACAGCCCACACTGTTTATATGGGTTATTGTTTTTATCTAAATTAGGTTAAAACTCAGAGATCAAGCAAGTTTTCTGTATTTCCATCCTGAAGAAAAACCATCATTGTATATCTGCGGTCAACACTCTGTTAAAAAACAAAATTCAGCTAAGTAAATTTGAAGATCTAATTGGCTTTATTCAATGATTCATGAATCAAATCGGGCAGCATCCCATCTAGCGAGTAGAGCTACTCCAAGGAGTTGTACAAAATGGAAGGTTTTTATAGGCTGAAGGGGGTAGGGAGCAGGAAAGTATTAGCAAAAGTAAAGACAGGGTTGTTTCAGGTCAGGACATCTTCTTTTGGGGGAAGGGAACAGCAGGGGTTTCATCATGAGATTACCTCACTAGTGTTAGGAAATTCCAGACTGGTCGATTAAGATTGCATTCCTGTGGAAGGTGGAAAGTGCACTGAGGTCAGGTGTTCAGTCTAGGTTTGGTGTCATGGGCTTTAGCACAAGTGACACCATTTGGGGCCTGTGGGTTTTCTCTTTAACAACTCTTACTTCCACATGATTCCATTCAGCCACCTCGTTCTCTCTGAAATATGCCTCAGGAAGCTTGACTCTCACTACCTTTACTTCATTTACAGGCTTGTTTATACAAATTTATAATGTATTAATCGTAATTTACCCTAGTTTCCATAAAAGAAGAAACATGGCTTTCTCAAATTTGCTAGGAAGCTAATAAACTCCAAAAGTAACAACAACAACAACAACAAAAAACTCAACAACATGCAAATGCCCATTTTGATTGAACATGGAAATCATGAATCTGTCTAGTTGGGTTTGTGTAGCTACTATTTTGTTGCTGATTTCAAAATGGGTTACAAACATTTATTTAATCTTATTGCACCAACACTTTTTTAGTGAGTGATATAAATCAAAGTTGGCATTGTGCATCATGATACAAATTGATGTAGAAACTTGAAAACAATATATTTTTTCATTTGCATTAAGTGTGCTGTAATAATGAGAGGCTGCGCTGGCTCATATGGTATAATCAATCATGTGTTGGTAGTTGGTAATGGCATTTAGCTTCTCCCTGCAATCAGTGGATCCAGCTCAGAATAGCCTTTTCATATAAGTATTGTTAACCCTTCAGGGTCCTGCAGCAGATGGCCCAGCACTTTATTTAAGTTTTACAAAAGTTAGAAGCTCAGATAGGAAGAGGTAACTGTTAGGAGCTGCAGGAAGCATAATGCTGAATGTGCCCTGCTATTCCCTGATAATACTGAGCCTGATCTTTGGTGTCCTGACTTCTTATTTAAGTAAAGTCATTATTCTCTGTTAATCACTGCTGAGTTCTGCGGTTAAGAAGTTGTTGTTGTTGAGATTAAAAAAGCCTATATGTGTAATGGATGTTTTTCATTTTTCCTAGTTTAGTGATGAATTGAACTGCTCACTACTGATCTGTCAAGCAGAAAGTTTGCATTCTGCTCCTCTTCCTGCTGGTGTATAGCCTACAATTGGTTTTGTTCCATATTTCAACATAATGTTTGTGTAATTATTTCACATTAATGTTAAACTTGATGGAAGCATCGGAGGATGATCTTTGCTAAAGCATGAAGAATATAAACATATTAGCAAAAACAACAGCAACATAAAGCATAATCTTTTCAAACTACACCACATAGTACACTGCTTAATATCATTACTAAAATCTGCTTTATTCAGAATTGTTCAAGTTTTTAAAACATGCTGGTGTCTAGACTTAAAATTTCAGATATCTATCTTTAGAAGATAGTTTGGTGAAACCTTGCCATTCATTCATTCAGTTTTTTATTTATCAACATTTATTGCATAGCTATTAAGAGCCAGGAACTTTGTTAGATGCTGAGATAAAAGAATGGGAAAGGAGGGAGGGATCCCTCCTCTGAAATGGTTTATATAGTAAAGACTGGCATCTGATCTTATGGATTTCGAGAGTCTTTCCTTCTCTGGAATTCTATTGATTTAAGCCTAAAGCTGATAGCCTACAAAGATTCAGCAGTGATCCAATCCTCATAAAAGATTTGTACTAAAAAGTGGCTCTTTCTGGATGGAGTTGTATCCGTACTGGATTTTTTAGCTTTCTTCTTCCTTTGCTCTTACACAGTTCAGGGTTTACACTACGTTAAACTATCACAGCAAAGTGAATACGAATATTTTCTTGGATATATTGACTTGAGTCTTAATAATTTTTGATTATTCATGTAAATTATTTTTGGGGAAAAAAAGACTGTATGCCTTGCTCCTAAAGAAGTAAATTAGAGAAAAACTAGATACACTAAAACATATTTGTTCATTTTTTTATTGCAATCAATTTCTATTTCATAAAAACAGTCATTCAAATAAAGAATACAAAAAGGACAAATAATTTTACAATTCAACTTCTTTGAATTCTTTTTTTTTTTTTCCTGTGAGGAAGATCACCCCCGAGCTAACATCCGATGCCAATCCTCCTCTTTTTGCCAAGGAAGATCGGCCCTGGGCTAGCATCCATGCCCATCTTCCTCTACTTTATATGGGACGCTGGCACAGCATAGCTTGACAAGTGGTGCGATGGTGCGCGCTCAGGACCCGAACCTGTTGGCTGCCAAAGCGGAGCGCGCGCACTTAACCACTACGCCACCAGGCCGGCCCCTCTTTAAATTCTTTAAAACTCAGGAAGTTCTGTTTATCTTTATAGAGATAAGCATATCTGGTGGTACTGGAGGCTTGGGAGATTGATGAACTAGTTCTTCACATGACTATTTAAAAAAATAAAATGGTGTAAACATTTTTAAAATTCAGAGCATTAGAACAATATAGATTCTAATAGATTATACAATAGTTTTGTATTTTAATGCAGAAGTTCACTTATGGATTTTTTTTCATTTAAAAAGATCTCTTAATAGATTAAGCGTTCACTTGGCTTTCAGTATTTATATAACATTGCATCTGCCACTCTTGAAATGCACCTTTTGAATGCAGACGTAAAGTTCTGTAAATAGAAAAGAGCTGCTTAATCAAGTTTTCATATCACTATCAAACTATTTTTGAGATCAGGTGTCAAAACTAAAACTGCAAGTGAATTTTTTGAGAAAGACTGACTGTTAGCTTCATTCAGAATGGCAGATTCTTTCCTCCCAGAAAATTGCTTTCTTTTCCCTTTCCCAAATAATAATAGGCAAAATATATTCAATTAAAATTGACATTTCCTCGGATATAGTTTAGTTACTTACATACCTGAGAACTTCAGCTTTTGGAACCCATAAAAGGTAGTCATCCCTTTTTATGGGTTTGACAATAGTCCTTTTAAAGACTTTGGCTCATGATCGAGGACTTTATCATTCCTTATGGAATCAGCAGACTATTCAATGCTGGAATAATATATCTTTATAGTTTTAATTCCTATCATTCATGAATATTAATCTAAATGATTCTTGTAAGGAAATATGGATTTCTTGCATAATTACTTCAGAGACTGTCTCTTTTGATGGCATTTATAAATTCATACTGTGAATAAAGAGGATTTTGAATGAAGAGCTTGGACTCTCCCAGGTTCTTTAACTATAAATCGATCTTTATCTATAAATTGCATAAATTAACAGTCTCTGAATCAGAATGTAGTTTTTTAGCAGAGAATGAGATAATTAGTAAAGTATTTAGTATGTTGTCTAATACATAGTAGGAACTTAATAAATGTAAGTGTTTATTCTAATGTGCTGATTTATAGTTCCTCATGGGTGGACCGAGTAGAAACAGTGCTATTTAATAAAATGTTGATAAATCTTAGTATTGCTTAAGAAAAAAGACCACATATGTAACAAATTTAGTTAATATCATGAGAAAAGTGGTAGACTTTTTCACTGCATTTTAAATGAAAACTCCTGTCTGCACAATATTGAATTTAAAAAAATTTAAATACATTGAATAGCAATATTAATTAACTTAAAAAGATTTCTGGTTAAAGTTCAGGTTAAAATGGAGTTGACAGGACACTGTTTAATTCTGCTTTGTGAGTAGATGACAGAGAATTAAAAAGTGACCTGCTTTTTGCCAGACAGGATTTTTGGTGGCCAGTGAAATGACACAGACTAAAGGAAAAAGATGGCATTTTAGGGCCGGCCCCGTGGCTTAGCGGTTAAGTGCGCATGCTCCACTACTGGTGGCCTGGGTTTGGATCCCAGCCACACACTGACGCACCGCTTCTCCGGCCATGCTGAGGCGGAGTCCCACATACAGCAACTATCAGGATGTGCAACTAGGACATACAACTGTCTACTGGTGCTTTGGGGAGAAAAAGGGAAAAAAAGGAGGAAGATTGGCAATAGATATTAGCTCAGGGCCAGTCTTCCTCAGCAAAAAGAGGAAGATTGGCATGGATGTTAGCTCAGGGCTGATCTTCCTCACAAAGAAAAAAAAAAAAGATTGCGTTTTAAACTGAGAAAAACCTTTTTTTATGGTGCATTAAGGATTAATCGACCAGAAATCCAGGATATTATACTGGATACAGCTAGTGGCAGGTGTTATTTTATTTTTTAAAAAATCTATATTTCATAAAGATCATAAATAAAGGATGAATTTTAAAACTAATATATGCTATAAGGAAGAAAATGTGTGATTAGTCTGGTAAGGAAAAGAAGCAAATTTGCACCTGTAAATAGTCTTTTATCTCTTTCATTATTCTGTAATAATTCTTTGAATCAAAACTGAGAAACGTTCACTGCAGTCCAAAATTTATCTCATGTCAAATCTTTTATTTCTATTTCCATAAGAATCTATTGAAACCAATAATATGTTAATTGCAAAGGCTTTATTGGTTTAAAAGTTTCCAAATGCACACTATGAAGCACAAACTGCTTTAGTAAAGACTGCCTTAAAATGAAGATTTATTCTGATCGCTTCTATTCTGACTAATTCCAATTAGAACAGATGTATGTTATAAAAATATTATTTCATTTTTATTACTTCTACATCCATGATTGAGCCAAATCTTAAAATTTAAGTCTGGAGTTGGGAGGTCAGGGAAGAAAGAAGTAGAAAATACGTTTCTTTGAGTTTGGCAAACACTCATATGCAAAATAACACTAATTTGGATAAAGAGCATTAGATTTCTTCATTCATTCATCCTGGTTCACATTGAACCAAATTTTGTTGAAAAATCAACAAAATTTTTCATCTTTATGTTAAGACCACAATTATATACTTATTCATTCAACAGTTAGTGAGCACTTTGTTTAATCTATTCCTTACTGAGAGAAATGTATGAGTTAACACCCGTAGTTCTAAGAAATAATTGGGAAAAGTCTTAAAAAGTAATATCTCCTCTTTCTCTCTCTACTTGCTTTATTTAAGAACCCCATTTTTCATTGCTTAAAACAATATATATTACTCTTACATTTCGACTATCTTCCTAGGTACTCAAAGTACCTTGAAATCCATTAATGAATAATAAATTATAATAGCCACTTATTTTGTGACCTTTGATGTTTAGACAACAAATATTTTTCTATAGTGTTCAGCATAATAGATTATAAACTTATTATTAATAAAATGTATTTAAGTCAATTGCTCCATTTAGAATTATTTAGTTATTAATGTATATAATTTAAAGCACAGACAGCACCTACAAATGAGTTGATCATTTTAGTGACATGTATTGTTGTTTTCATTTGAATGTGTGCTAAGCCTTAAGCAAATGTATTACAGTAACAGAATCTCTTAGCATTTCCAGATAACTCATTAATAGTTTTGTGTTTCTGTTACTGCATTAAAGCATTTCTAATTCTTCCATCTCTTATCTTATCTTATAGGAAATAAACGATGTGGACGTACAGGAACTTGTAAGAAGGTCAATTGGAAGGTTAACGATCATTCGGCAGACATTTCCAGTCCCCCAGAATATAAGTCAGCGATGTTTCCGTGGCAACCACCGAATATCTTCAACATTGTGTGATCCAAAGGATCCATTTGCTCAGAATATGGAGGTATATTCTAAGTGCTGCAGTATTTGTTTCAAGCTGCTTTGTTGGCCAGTTGTAGTGAGAGCTTTTCAAGTTGCATTTGATTCAGAATTATCCATGTTTGCATTTTCTGAACTATTCTCCTCCAGCAGTTTAATGAGTCTGATGGGGAGAGTGTTAAGAATTCATGTCCTTGATCCTTTTGACCTCATTATAGCAAAATATCTACTTGTTTAATAAAAATATAATAAGGAAAGGTTATTTTCTTCTCAGCAAGTAGATCCATAGCATTTCCCATGGTAGAATTTGTGATTGAGACTCTTTAATGCCAAATTCCAAATTATTAAGCTAATAAATTTGCTTGACTTTTCTGGCATAACAAGGACATAGAAATTTATATTTTTTAAAAGATTAGTCTACAGTTTGAAGAACTTCACCAAAAACCTATTTAGAAATGTAAAAAATGCTGTAGCATTATATAGTCATAACCAAATCAGATGGGATATAGCTGAAAACTTTGCTATTCAGAATACAACACAGAATTTGAAAGTAAATAAATAGAATCTCTGAGCAGCAAAAGAGAGAACAGCAAGTCCCTGCAGCTTACTCATAAGGATGCCCTTTAAATACGCGGAGCCTATATGTTTTTTAAAGGAAAATCCTATCAGATTTTTTTGTTTTGTTTCTCTTTGCACTGGCTACCTCACTATGTCATTTGAAGGGAGTGTTACAAAAGGCAGGCACATCGACAACAGTAGGGTGCCATAAGGAGCCCTCTGCTGCAAGCAAGAGACACGGAAAAAAAGAAAGCAATCCAATACACTAATTCAAATATCCTATCAGTGTAGGACTTTTCCTGTAAAAACAACTCCATGTTGTAAAACAGTTCCTAAGGGTATCACTGTAGTGTACTGCTAGCATATTAGTTAGTATTTAAACAATAACCCCGAGATATCAGCAAAGATTAAAGTCATGGTCATTTTCAGAAGTCAGAAAAATATATGACATATTTTAGAAACCTATTCTTTCAAAATGTTTATTATCAAAAAAGTTTTAGTACTTAGAGATGTTCATTGTGAACAGTTTGGAAATATAACTAGTAGGAGAACTAGTTTATCCCCAATAATCTAGATAAATAAGGTGATTTTGCAAAACTACTTCTTTTGAAAGATAATTCCACAGCCTCCCTATCTTTAGTCAGCTTTGAGGTTTTTTTTTTTAGATGAGTAACCATTTATCCAACCATTTCTTCATACTTACTACCATTGAAATGGGTGATATATATTTACCAGGCAGCTGGCTCTGGGATCTTTGCCCATAGAACTTTCTGTTCCCAACTGGATTTTAAGCTCTTTCAGAATAGATTCCCTCTAGAACCTGATGTCATAAAATCCCATGAAGTATTCAGCTGTCTTTATTTCCCCCATCATACCTCCCACAGTGCTGTGCACCTTTGTGAATATCTGTGGATTTGAATGTAATTAAGAAGAAGACAATGGTCAAAGTAAGCCATTCTGAAGCCTAAACAAGGCCTGTTTAATTTTTAATGCCAATCTTATTGATATGCTTATAATGACCCATCTTTTCATATTAATTGGGCATGAGTATAACTGATGTGAAAATGATAGAATTTTACATACAGAAAAACATGGAAGAACTTTGATTTAGAAAATTATGAAATATTAAAGGCTGTTCCTGTCAAAAGAAGTAGCAGGATATGTACAAATTGGGAAAACAGAAAGTACCTACACAGTATTTTAAAGCACATTCGCCTAACAGCATAATGCTTCCGATTCAATTAATGAGTTTCTTGAAATCGGGGAACAAATATGTTACTTGTCTTTAATTCCCAGACCTATCTGAAGAATTAAGGATGTACAGGAGGCACACCCCACCTACCCTATATCGTCATCTTATTCCCTTCAAATCCACAGATGGAAGAAAATAGGACAATTACTTTTTCCTTGAGGATTTATTACATATTAACTTCTCTATTATATGTAATAGAATTTGACTAAATGTTTAATGTATAAAAGGAAAACTGACAGAAACTTTTATATGTGGAGATTTATATAATTGAGTCTAAATGCAGGGCTCTTGAATTTAAAATGTTCCACTAAAATAGAGCATTTGATATAGAGGCTTGCCTTGGTGAAAATTTTATCTCATTGATGTTAAAGAAAGCAACCTGAAAAATACTTACTGAAAATTTGGGAGTGGGATGTTCCCTAGGAGAAATAACCCTCTCAACTTGGAGTCCATAAAAACAATGCAGGTAAATATGATCGCAGACAGACTTACATCTTATCAGCCAGGTACAATAAAAAAAAAACTCAGAAAAAATAAAGATATGACTCAAGTGAGCTCTATAAAATAGAAACCCAACTATAAAATCACAATAATCAATACAACAGAAAAGAGGGCACAATGAGCCTGTGTAGAGATCTCTGGGCTGTTACATATTTTTTAATTTAATTAATTAATCAATTGATTGATTTATTTATTTATTGGTGAAGAAGATTGGTCCTGAGCTAATATCTCTTGCCAATCTTCCTCTTTTTGCTTGAGAAAGATTGTCCCTGAGCTAACATCTGTGCCAATCTTCCTCTATTTTTTGTATGTGGGATGCCACCACAGCATGTCTTGATGAGCAGTGTGTAGGTCTGTGCCTGGGATCTGAACCTGCAAACACCAGGCCGCCAAAGTGGAACATGCAAACTTAACCCCACTATGCCATTGGGCCGGCCCCTCTGGGCTGTTACATATTTTAATGTACACAGAAAAGGAAGTAAGATTTAGAAAGAACAAAAAACAAGTTTCCCAAATCTTTAAATTAGTGCCAGAATGACTAAAATCCAAGATTAGCTGAAGTTGCAAAATAAATGCGAAAGAAACGTTTTAGCTAGAAACAGAGTTTTTAGCAATATATGAAGCAAGAAGGAAGTGAGCCATTTACTGCTTGGTGAAACTGTTAGCTTGGCTGCTAATGGAAAGAAAAGAGAAACGTTCAAATCCTTTTGCTTCGTTTTCTCCATCTAAGAAAAAATGTCTTCCAATTGGAAAGGTTAGAATAAAAGCCATTAAAAAACAGTAAACCACTGGTTTAGAAGGAGCAGGGGTTTGGAGATGGTAAGAGTATGCCTTACTGCTTTAAAATGAGGCCTGAAAAATAATTGCTCAGAGCAGTAAATAAACCAGCAGATGTGATCACAGTATTATAATTGAGAAATACTAGAGAAATATTGGGAAGAGGACCCGAGTATGAGACATTGGTATATTGTCCCAATTTTCAAAACAGGAGGAAAAAAGATTCTGACAATCAGAGTTTAATATACTAAAAATTAATATTTAGATAAACTGTGGAATGTATTATTAAATATATGGTTTGGGGTACTTAAGATAAGACAATAGGACTTCCTTAAGAACAAGTACTGTCAAACTAAGTTCTATTTAATAATTTTCTTAGATTGGGAGAATGCCATAAATCTATTTATTATCTGTTGATTTTTATGTAGTGTTAGACAAATTTTCTTGTGCAATCCTTATGGGAAGACATTAAAAAATCTAGATAGATGAATGTCACTCAAACGTTTCATCAAAAGAATCCTGAGAACAGAAAATAGTAAACACTCTGGTTTAAGATTAAAAAAAAAAAGTTCAAAATATATTAAAGTTTCATTATTATCTTTCAAAGTTATAACATTTGAGTTTCTTTAAAATTAGAAATAATATTTCAAATAATTTACTAGTTAAATTACTTCATTTTTTCTCCAAATCTTCAAGCAAATTTCATATGCCTCTAACATGGCTGAGATACATTCTGTAGCCTTGAGTACGTCTGATGTCTGTGACTTACCACTGCAACTTACCAGGGCTTCTTTCATCCTCAGTGTGAGACGTATGAAACTAGAGGAACATTCATCCACACTGATAAATATTCTACTCTTGAAGTCCAAGGAACTCTCTATGGTCATCCAAAGATTCTGTCCTTGGAACTAATATTTTCAAAATGTTCATCACTACACAAATGGAAGTGAATACAGCATGCCTATTAGATTTGTAAATGACAAAGCTAGGAGAAAAAGCTTATGCTGTGTTACATAATCAAGATCCAAATTGTTGATCTTCACTAAATAATAAGCCTAAAATTTGAAATTTCACAGAGATAAAGTATACGTTCAAAATCAATTACAGGAAGTCTGGATGGATGAGACCTGGTTTGACAGCTGTTTAAGCCAGTTAAGATGAAGACAGATTTGGTGTGAGCATAGCACAAGTCGTATTTGCTCTGAACCATCCTAATGCAATCTTGGTCTCTATGTCAGAAGTATTTTGCTAAGATCAAGAGAAATAACCCCTTATAGTATACTCTTCTAGTCAGATCACCTCTGCAATAATGTGTCAGTTCTGAGTGCTAAACTTTGAACAGAAACATTGAAAAATAAGAGAAGGACAGAGGAAGAACACTGGGATGATGAGAAGCCTAGAAATTATTCCAGATGATGAACAACTGAAGCAAAGAGGATGTTTCAGGGCAAGTGATAGATGGTGTTAAATATCGGAAGGTTGTCATGTAGAGGAGGTGGGTGCTGGTGGTTCAGTGTAGTCAGAAAACAAGTGTGGTGATGGTAAGGTAGAGAGAAATGATTGGTGAGATGGTGGGATACTGGAATTTAACATGTTAGAGGAGGTATTTATGTCCAGTAAGGAGTCATTTGTCTTGGATGTGGCCAGAGTAGAAGTGAAGATCATCTGTGTAGGAATTGAAGTGACTTTTGATGAGCAAGATTGGCCCTGAGTTAACATCTATTGCCAATCTTCCTCTTTGCTGAGGAAGATTAGCCCTGAGCTAACACCTGTGCCAATCTGCCTCTATTTTGTACATTGGATGCTTCCACAGCATGTCTTGATGAGCGGTGCATAGGTCCACGCCCAGGATCCAAACCTGCGAACCCCGGGCCACCAAAGCGGAGCGTGCGAACTTAATCACTACGCCACCGAGCCTGTCCCGAAGTGACCTTTTTTAATTCTGGGAGATAGTTTGGGATCACTGTGAGGGAAAGGTCAAAAACCTCTTGAATAAAGAGTGATCAAGAGGTCAGTAGATCATGGCAGAAAGAGGCTATAAAGTGTGGCGTACGAAAGATCATGAACCTCAAGAGAGAACAGGCACTTGGCTGAGAAAGAAGTAAGAGAAGGGGTAATGGAAAGCTCAGAGAATGTCATCATCCCCTTCTGATCCCACCGTTTGGAAGGTGGGCAAATGAGGAGTGGCCCTCAGATGTTGAAGACACCTGTCACCTATAGATACAAAGCACTCACCTTTAAGACTAGCATGGATGCTCGTAGTACCGGCCTCGAGGTATGCAAAAGGGACTGTGCCACGGAAGGGTCAGGTTTGCAAGGAACCCAGGTTGCCAGGTCTCACGTCTTACTTCTGTCAAACCTACCTGATGTTAAACTTGACTTTTTTTTTCTTTGTCTTCTTTTATTTGGCAACTATGTATCAAAAACCAAATATGTGCTAGACTCAAGGCTATGTCAACGGGAAATAAAAAATAAGGGAAACAGAAGTACAGAGGGGAACAATATGTACAGTATGAGCTGCTGTCCAAAAGCAACTCATATTCTAGTGTGCAAGTCGGATTAAAAAATACCATAGCACTACGCTATGCTTCCGCAGAGGTCGGCAGTAGACGTTCCGGGAGATGAAAAGAGGGCTGCCCCATCCGCAGGGAGTGGGGGGAGGCCTGAGAATTTGTCAGGGTAGGACTCACCTAGCGTGTGACCTATGAATTGAATATTAGAGGAGGTTAACTAGTTGGAGAAAGATAAAGAGACATCAAAGGATGCTACCACAACAATCTCATACACACACAAAGCAACCGGTCAGAGGGAGAAGTGAAATAAAGCTAGAGAGAAAAGGGCAAGCCAGTGTGAGGCCGTGGAGCCAGGAGAGGTTAGAAAGGGACAAATGATTGCAGATTATTGAGAAATCATCCAAAGATTTGCCCTGGATTTTTGGGTACAGCCCACTCATCTTTCATGTTTCTTCTAGGTTTTCCTTTTGGGTTTTCACAGCCTAATTCAGACTGAATTTTGATTCCTCAACTACTTTTAACTTGAAGTCTCACTCTTCGTTCACTGCAGATTTCAGCTAAACCTGCCAGTTTCTCCAGTAATTATCTGGCAGGAGGAAGGGCAAGGGGCTGAGAGTGAGAATAGCCTTCCCTAATATTTCCTCATAAAGAACAAACTGCTATTTCACATAGTACATAAGAGTGTTCAATGTCTCTTTAAAGAAAGCTCTCTCTCCCATAAGTATTATACATATAAAATAATGCTTAACAAACACAAATGATTAAAGATTAACCTAGCAGTGAAAGAAAACTCACAAGGCACTGTTAGGAAGTGCTTATTAATAGTTGTTCATAGCATCAAACTCCCATTATCCTAATAGTTGAAGCTTAATACCATTCTTTGATGTGGGCAGACCGTTTTGTAAGTTTCCTTCATGATTAATTATAACCAAAGGGCAATCAACGTACTGTCTTCTTTGTTTTCAGGAAAAACTGTGATAACAAGACACTTTAAAAAAATCTGAGAAAATGTAAATGCTTTAAGATGGATTTCATTTTCATAGCTATGTTGATTTCTCATTTTTTATTTCATGTTAGATTTTTCCTTCAGAGAGGTAATAATATAACATTTAACAGCTTTTATTGACTTTGGCTATCTCTTGGTGTTTAAGTTTTCTAAATAATTTCTAATTTCTTTAAAAAATAAACACTTTGGGTAAGGATAGTAGTTCTGGCAAGAGTTAAGTCTAAGAGTACAATACATCTTAGCAAAAATTTCTATGATTCATTTTTCAATCTATATAGAAGGAAGATAATAACATGGTAAGCTTAGAAGAAGAAAACATCAATATAAACACATTCACAAACAGTTAATAGTTTATGGTGTTTGCCATGTTAATGAATTGTGATGTGTGTGTGTACCTATATAATTTTGTATAGATCCTTGAACATTGTAATCTTTATGAATGATGCTATTTCCTCTCATTTTTTCATTACTGAATCCCCATGGACACATGAGTACATACACACAGATGGCTGCTTCCTTTTTTGCACCTCTGACACTCATCTTCCATGTAAGATCAAGTTGATATCTCCATCTGAATAACCAGAATGCAAAAACTTGACATATTCAGAAATGTATTATTCAGTTTGCCCTTCCAGTCTGAAGCCCTTAGATCCTTACCTCCTCAGAAAGAAATAAGGGCCAGTGATTTTCTAAGGTCTGACACTAACAGCCGTGCTGTGGCTGAAACTTCTCATTTTTATCTTCTCTTTCACACCTAAATAAGCTGAAAAAGAAATTGAGGCATACAGTCAGACAAGACTTCATTCTCAATGGCAAAATTGCCTGGGAAATGAAAGAAAAAAAAAAAAAACCCTTCTGCTTAATAGATAACCCAGTAAACCAGCCATCTATGACATGAACGGAAGCAGCTCAGATGACAATTTTCTCCTCATTCTTGATGGTCGGCGTCAATGATTCTAATGACTACCGTCTAATGTCTTTTCAGATTTCAAACCTTTACATATATGACACGGTGCTTCTGCTTGCTAACGCTTTTCATAAGAAGCTGGAGGACCGCAAGTGGCACAGCATGGCCAGTCTGTCGTGTATCAGAAAGAGCTCCAAGCCCTGGCAGGGAGGGCGTTCCATGCTGGAGACCATCAGGAAGGTAACTTCTGACCACCACTTCACTCTTCCTAATGTTCACGTAAAGAGGAAAAATAAATCACTGTTTGATGAGATATCTTTTAGAAGGATTTTTTTCCCTCACCAATATTGCTGCCAATTCAAAGCAAAAAACAGTATAGTGGAGAAATGAAATATTAAAAAAGAAAAGGTGTGGGCCAGCCCCGTGGCTTAGCGGTTAAGTGCGCACGCTCCGCTACTGGCGGCCTGGGTTCGGATCCCGGGTGCACACCGAGGCACCGCTTCTCCGGCCATGCTAAGGCTGTGTCCCACATACAGCAACTAGAAGGACGTGCAGCTGTGACGTACAACTATCTACTGGGGCTTTGGGCAGGGGGGATGTGGGGGGTTTGGGGATTGGCAATAGATGTAAAAAAAAAAAAAAAGAAAAGGTGAAAAAGTCACATAGATATGTAAGACAGAGAGCCCATATTTATTTGTGATGGAATTTTATGCAAGTAAAAATATAGTGGTTGAAATATTTTTAATTGCCTCGGTTATATCCTTAGGGTTAGAAATGCTCAAATTAATTTGGTGCTTGTCACAAAGTACAAAAAGTTATTTTTTTTTTCTTTAACCTATACCATCAGCTGAAAAAAATAAACAGCAGACCTAGCTATTTTTCTATTAGATGATACATGGTAAGACATTGGATGTGATGATCTTTATTTATATTACAATAAAGATATAATTCATAAACAGTTAATATTTTGCAGCTTTCAGCTTCTTTTGGATACTTGATGGCAGTATTCTTTTCCACTGTCACTGTGGCGTTTAGCCTGGTTGTGACCTGCTTTGGCTTAGCTACCTGTTCCATTCCCAGAAGGCAGTTTATGTTGTTTAGCTCCTCTCAACGGTGTAAGCAGTCTGCGGTTTATTAGCCTCTTTGTCATGTCATCCTCGCTGGCATTTTCCGTTTGTCTCACACAGCTTCTTGGATTTAAAATGAAATGATTAATAAAACAAACAAATTTCTCCTGTACCCTTTACACAAAGGAGATGGCCGTTTGGAAGTTTATGTTCTTTATTTTACTCATCCTTTTTCTTGCTGCGTATGTTTGCCTTTCTTTCCTGAAACAAAAAGAGAAATAGCTAGTCAAATGAAATATGAATGTATGTAGAAAAGCTAGAGAAAAATCTAAAAATTTAACAGTAGAAATGACACAGATGTACCAAAACAGGAAGTGGAGGAAACAAATATTTCAAATGGAGAATAGTCCAGATCTTTCTCTTGGTCCTGTTTCCTCTTTGCAAAAGTATCATTTTGATGAGAATTTAGGCTCTTATCAACAGAAGTACTTGAGAATTAAATGTGTTGAATGTATTGGCAGAGAAAGATTAACTGAAAAATGAATAAGTCAAATCCAAACTCAAGGGGTTGCCAAAATCTCCCAGCTCTATCTATGCAGAGAGTTGGCAGGTATGAATCCAAGGGAGGTTGTTGAACATGATTCTGATCGTGCCAATTTATTAATTCACGGTTTGGCTAGAATGCAGGAACCTGAATATATTCATCCTTCTGAAGCTGCCTCACAAAGACAGAATAATAGTTTGGGAGGTTGCTTAGGAGACACTAATTTAGTGAGAGTATCAGTAGGAGGGAAAGAGAGACACCATAATATGTAGGTATTTCTCACGGAGCAATTCAATATGTAAAATGTTGCTGTTAGAAAACTTATAATCAAAACGATGATTTACTACAATAACTATGAAATTTTATTTGGGGGGAATATTTGCATATTTGTCTCTGTAAAGTTTCAACTTGGTGGCACTTTTCTTTTTTTGTGTGTGTAAGGAAGACCAGCCCTGAGCTAACATCTGCCAATCCTCCTCTTTTTTTGCTGAGGAAGATTGGACCTGGGCTAACATCTGTGCCCGTCTTCCTTTACTTTATATGGGACGCCGCCACAGCATGGCCTGACAAGTGGTGCGTCAGTGCGCCCCCGGATCCCAACCCGGAACCCAGGCCACCACAGCGGAGCACGTGCACTTAACCACTTGCGCCACCTGGCTGGCCCCCCAGTGGCACTTTTTAAAGAAATATATCCATTTTATGTATCTAGACACTGTGTGGATAATATATATGATTGCAAATGTTCAATTTTGTTATTTTTTGTCTCACATTTCAAATTCACCTAAAAATGGAGTTATTTTTTTCCAGTCATGTTATTTTGCCTCATTTGAGGGTCTTGGTCACCCCGTTTGAATGTCACAGCTAATGATGCTCCACACACCAAGAGAATTTGAGAGCAAGTTCACCACTCACACAGGGTCTCCTGGGGAGAGTCCGAGCAGGTCCAGGCTGGCTTGGGCCCAGCAGAGGGAGTGGGCTGGGCCTTTGTCGTGGCTACGGGGTGGGCCTGGAGATCTGTGAGGCTTAAATTTCCCAGGGTGTCAAAGAAGGAGGTGCAGGAGGGGCTTTCTTAATCAGCCTGTCCAGATATGGAGCCAAATGGGAAAGGGAGGGCAAAGCTGAAAAGGAAGTCAGCAGCCAGACATCACAAATGAGGTCAGACTCTATTACAGTGGGAATATTCTAGTGATAAAATTCTTAATTACATTCAAATAACCACTGCACGCCTGTATTAAGGGCATGCTATATACACTTTACAAAGCCTGCGTGCTGCCGCAAGGAGACAAAGAAGTAAAAGAATGAATGTCTTCCCTTTAATTAATTTATATTCGTGTTAGGGGGATGAGACAAAAGATTAAACAGCAATGCAGTTGACATACGTACTCTAACTGTCCACTGAAGGGGAGGTGGCGGTTCCCAGGGCACTCTTATGTTGCAGCTTTATAATTTACTTTATGAATTAATACAATAGGTGCCTTTACATTTCTCTTCTTTTTTCAAAAATTAGAGGTTAATTCTCGACTATTGATTTCTCTCAGATATTATCAGCCTCCCCCAAGCCATTGTTATTTATATGAATTTTATAGATTACTTCTGAGGGAATTATAATTTTTAAAATATAGAGTCTAGCCATCTATGAACATGGTACCTATCCATATAGTCATCTTTTTATAGCATTCAGTAAGATTTATAGTGTTCTGCATACATATTTTGATTGTATTTATTCCTAAAATTTTATAGGGTTTTGAGTGTCTGTGTCTGTGCACACTATCATGAATAGGATATGTTTCCATTATACTTTCCAACTAGTTATTGTAGGTACAGGAAGGAAGGAAGTTATTGATATCTGATAAGGAAGTTATTGAGGTCTGATATGTTTTGTGACTGACCTGATGGACTTTTGAATCTTAACTCCTGATTCTCACTTCTTTCTTTGTAATTTTTTCTCGTGTTTTTCAAGTAAACATTGATATCATCTTCAAATAAAATTAATATCACCTAATTCTAATATTATGTCTATCTAAAATTTTTGAAAACTTTTCTTGGGGCTGTCTGGGAACATTACCTACCAGGTGCACCCCGGAGCCCTGTGACCTTCAGAGGTACCTCCTTTCCTTGTTCCAAGTGAGGATGCCGGGTCTCCTGCATCTCAGAGATGTAGAGGTGAGGATTCTTCCTCTACAGGAGAGCTGCAGCCCATACCAACCAGGCCTGGAGGGGACCTGCAGAACCCTGCCACACAGGACACCTTATTTTCCAGCTCTCCTCTGATGCATTCTTCAACTCTTCCTCTAAATTTTTTTTTTTTTTGGTGAGGGAGATCAGCCCTGAGCTAACATCCGTGCCAATCCTTCTCTTTTTGCTGAGGAAGACTGGCCCTGAGCTAACATCCGTGCCGATCTTCCTCCACTTTATGTGGGACACCACCACAGCATGGCCTGACAAGCGGTATGTCGGTGTGCGCCCGGGATCCAAACCCGGGCCGCCAGCAGTGGAGCGCACGCACTTAACCGCTACGCCACAGGGCGGGCCTCGCTCTTCCTCTTAATTTTGATGTTAGTTCACTATTGACACATGGCACTCCCAGCTCTTGGGTAGAGAGAACTCCAAGCAGTGGTGTTGGGGGCACACCCATGAGGCAGAGGCCTGACCTGGGGTCTGCAAAGAAGGTTCTGCAGGTGAATTTGCAGTAAGGGCCAACAACAGAGGACATAGTGGCCAGTGAGCAGTCTCTAGGCCAAAAACTTGTGATTTGAGGAACAGATGTAAATATGGCAACATGCAAAGAAAATTTTCAGATATTTCTTCAGCATTTTATTGACCCTGTGGCTAAAGAAGAAGAAAATGTTTCCATAGATATTGCTGAACCTCTGTACATGCAATGACTTGGGGAGATTAATATTATTGGGGAGCCATTTTAAGATGTGAACTGTGAATACATAAAATTATTTGACCAAAATCTGTAGAGATAGCTCATCTGCTGCCCACAGGAAGTTATTCTGACTTTTAACATGGCTGCAATGAGATCTTCTTTGACAATTACCCTGACTCAATCTTAGAACATCAGATTCAAGTAGGAGCATTCAATGTGTTGAAGACTAAGAATATGAGAAACCTGAAGCCAGAAGATGTTGACCAGCTCATCACCATCAGCGGCATGGTGATCAGGACATCCTAGCTGATTCAGGGGACGCAGAAGGCCCTCTTGCAGTGCCAGGTGTGTGCCCACACTGCCCTGGTGAAGATGGACCATGGCCAGATCACTGAGCCTGCGTGTGTGAGTGTTGCCTCACCGCCCACAGCATGGCACTGACCCTCAACCGAGTCTCCTGAAAACATGCCTGCAGGGCAGCTGCCTCACACTTATCCTTTTTGCTCACAATGATCTTGTTCACAAGGTGTAACCTGGGGCTGGAGTGAAGGTTACAGGCATCGATCGAGCTGTTTCCATTTGTTAATCCAAGAGTGAGTAATGAGAAGTCTGTCTACAAAATCCACATTGATGTCATTCATTTTCAGAAAATGGATGCTAAACATCTGCATGAAGAAGCAGAACAGAAACTTTTTTTCAGAGAAGCATTTGGAATTGCTTAAGGAAACTTCCAGAAAACCAGACATTTATGAGAGAC